CTCAATCATTATCCCCTTGGCGTGTGCGGGCAGTGCCTGTAACTCAAAGCACCACCCCTCGACCTGAAAGGGTCTGCCCAGCGAAAACTTCACAGGTGACCTGGGGTGGTGCCTTGGAGAGACAGACCAGACCTAAAAGACTACCCAGGCAACCGTAACCAATCCCAACCACAAGCCGGTAGAAAAGCCTCGCAAAGAAGGAAGGCAGGTTGTTGTTACCACAATAAAAACATGACAGCTGAAACCCTGTACCCTCGACAAAGCGGAGAGCCCCAGGTCAACTGCTCCTTGCATTGAGCAACGAAAACTGGCGAAGGAACGTTTTCAATCGTGACTATGTTTCAAACATCACAGTCCTCCAAACAAAAACGCCATCACATGATATGATGTTTTTGCCTTTTTTCTAAATATTGCCAATATACTACAATTTTCCCTGCCCATGATACATGCAGCGTATTGCTGAGCAGGCAGGTCTCATGAATGAAATCACCCCACACCAGCGTGTGGCTCTGACAGGGCAGGGCTACTAATAACAAACACTGAATGCGTCTTGCATGTTCAAGGCCCGGCAGGATCATGGGCACGTAACTACCGTCCCGATGTCGATCATGAACATCAGACGGGGGCCGTGCTATCTTTAGGGCTTCTACGTTTTTCTCAAGTTGTTTGATTGCTGCTTGCGGGACCTCTGCAAACCTCTCCAGGGCCTCTTCGGGACCCATCGGGACCTTGCCAGGACCTTTCTAGGATCTCTCCAGTACCTCCCCACAACCTCGATACTCCTTGGGAGTGCCTGGCTGATCCTTGGTGAGAGCCCAGGTGAGATGACGAGATTTCCACACCCCAAGACCCAACAAAGCAACGGCAAGTCGTCTCTTGCGCACCAAGGTCCAAGGACGCTGCACACGCCAGCGTGGAAAGTAGAGAAAACAGAAGACACCAAAGGACGGAAGGAAACGCAATTCGTACCTTTTTTGATGCCTCGCCGCCTCCACTCTATCAAAGACAGTCCTTCTCAGCAAGCTGTGGAAGCAATTGTGTTTTTCTCCTTTGTCCGAATGCTTCCTCATAGCTCACTGAGGGGTAAGAAGGAACAGTTAAGCAAAAACAAAAAAACATCCGGTTTGCGAAACAGAACTTGGAGAATAACCACAACTGTACATCCAAAAACAGCACAAGGACAGTTGTCTCGTTTAGGAACTTTCGGTGAACTTTCATGTTCAGACGATGGAACAGGAAATCTCACATAATACCTGAAAGTCCATGCCGAATAAGATAACGTTATAGCGTATGGGCGATCAGCCATCCACTACCTTTCCTCTTCTCCTTGTTAAACTTGAATCCCCCAAAAATTCTACGAAATCAAGGGGGGCTGGGAGTACCTAGGCCTAAACTATCCCTAGCTGATGACGTTTGAACAAATTTCGGCGACTGAGTTTTCCACCTTTTCTGCTGCGGCACCTTCTTCAGTGACCTGAGCGCACAACTGCCTTTCGGACTCCAAGGGCTGTCATCCATACAACCTGTGCGCGTCATGCCAAACACATATTTCTGCGCGATGCTAGCTTTTTGTTGCAATCAGTTCTGCCTTTCGATTTGCATTCTGCTCCAGAAGGCTTCCGGTTTTGCATGGAGTATCATGCATACCTACATGATTCAGTGGAGCACTGGGCTCGCAGCCCGCCAACGAGCTGGAAATAAGTTCATTGTTGGGAAATTGCACAGCCATACAATCCCCCACAAGCTTGAAGCGGCCTATGTGAACGAAACACCTGCTGTCCAAGCTGCTTTTTGTTGGAGGTTGGAAAGCACTTGCAGAACTTGCTGCACCTCGCGAATCCCATGGCTTGAAAGTGCTAGGCATTGGCAAATTTCAAAACATACCGCAACTGTCAGAGCCGAGACTTGAACAGGAGCAAAACTGTCCAACACTGCCGAACTTGCGGCCACCTTAAATACATGCGCATCAGCCCGTCCACATCAAGCAACACTTGACGCGCAGGTCGCACATTGAGCTCGCCACAAGTTGCCCCAGCAAGGCCACACAAACTGACAGCAATATCTTCATTGCATTGCCTGCTGCAAAGTCATTGCTAGTCTCCATGCAGTTTTTTGGGTGGCTTTGGTTTTTTGTTTTTGGGGTGGTCCTGGAAGCTCTGTAGGCCAAAATGTGAGGACGCTACACGCGAGAGCTCAATTTTGAACCCAAATTTGAAGATGCGCTACGGGAGCTCAATTTGGTGTCAAAATGAAAGAACGCTCCATGTGAGCGCTCAATTTTGAATCCAAATTAGAGAAAGCTCGACGCGGGAGCTTAATTTAATTGTCCAACTGCGAAAAAACTCCCGCTACTCCTGTGAGGTCTCGATAAATTATAATGATATGTGGAATAAGCATGAGAATAAGTAATACTTGTTGTAAGAGTAATCAAGGTAATCGTAACAGTACTGATAAGCTGAAAAAACATTCCTGACAATGGTGATGATACTAATGATAAGCTCCAAACGAAGAAGAACGGTAGTGTGAACAGTGATAACTCGCATGGTGCCAACATGGCCATGAGATTTTTGTTGCCGTAAGCATGGATGGCTTTACAAAAGCTGGGGAGCCGGGGGGCGGAAGCCCCGCCCCCATTTGCAAACAAAATGATCCACACAGCTCTCCCCTACTGCAACCATGGTGATGACATAAGCATGGGTGGCTTTCAGAAATTAGGTGTGGGACATGATTTTTATTGTGAGCACGGATCGCTTTCAAAAAGGCGGTGTGGGGAGCAGCCAGGAAGAATGCCAAGAAGCCAAGAAGCCGGAGAAGCCAAGAAGCCAGAACCCAGAAACTGGAAAACCGGGAAGCCGAGAAGCCGAGCTCGGAAGCCGAGAAACCAAGAAGACAGAAAGCCAAGAAGCCAAAAACAAAAACAAAAAAAAAACTCTTCACAACTACGATGACTGCTGCTGCTGCTGCTGATGCAATCTGGTCCCTGCAAATTGCAATCGCCATGGGGCTGTCATGCAACACTGGAATGAACCTGACAATTCCCGCGCAGCTTGCGGTTGAATCTCACCAGGATCAGGGCTCCAATGGATTTTTCAGGTTCCTGCTATGTGGAGAAGGGTCTCATCCAACCACGGGCTGGGAGAGTTGCTCCAACACAGAAAGGATTCACAGTCCTATTTGATCTTCTTTGCAGCCGGAGGTTTTCTTTCACGTCTTACGTGGGTTTGCATTTCTGTGCAGTGGGTGCGTGTATGCCTCCTTAAGCACCACACCGGTGTAAACAAAGATGAACTTCAGCTAGCTTTCAAGCCAGAACTCATGAAATCAGAATGTCGGTGCGACTGCTTGGGCATGCATTCAAAACTTGCGCCGGGGGGGGGGGGGCGAAAGCTTTCAAGCAGGGCGCATACTAGCACGTGCATTGGTTCATGAAGCGGCGGAGCGCGAACG